AAAGACAATCAATAGACCAAAATTTACGCAAACTTGCAGAAACCGCAGGAGTTGCCGATATCTACACGCAAGACTATAGCGGATATTTTAAAGACATTAAAGATTATATATATCTAAACGGTGAAAAATACCGTCCCCAAGATATATCACCAATTAACATTTTTAGCTTTGTTACACTCAAAAATGAGATCCTCGATTTTCTAGGATGGCCCTACTACATCTTAGAAAAATTGACTATTTTATACGCAATGTTTAACTTTATTGGATTTCTTTTCTCACTTTTAAAAGGAATCTACAACACATGTGCTATACACACACAAGTCAATCGACAAGCAAGTGTAGCACGCATACTCTTTGCAGGATTTTTTGGAATCTTTTCTACATCTATAAACAAAATTCTTTTAGACGCACAAATAAAGGAATATAACACAAAAATAGCAACACGACAAAATACATACGACGAAGAACATAACAATGTAGACATAACGCCAACGGCACCACAATTACCAGCCCTACCAAATAACCATCCACTATCCCTAGTCCCACGAAATTTTCGAAATTTAGCCATCACACATAATCCAAATTTTCGACTCACCACATCACAAAGTCCCATCCAACATATAATGACACACCAGTCACAAGATGATAATACTTATGAACAAATTATTGAACAACCCCATACCACCGCTTTTCAGTCTCAAAATAATCATTTTTTTAGCCCACGATGAGCCGCCAACTTGGATCACTACACCGATCAAATTCCCACCCAACCAATCTTACCTCTCCAATCCCAATAATACCACTTTTTGCTTTTCCGCCACCCGATTTTTCACCTAGTAATGTAACATCAGGCATGAATTCCGACACTAATTCACACATCTCAGTTTTATATTCCATCTCACAACTCAATAACCCGAATATTGAAACCCCCGATGAATTTGCCGACTCAGAACCATCCCCATCCAATAATTTTCATAACTCTTCTAATTTTTCTCAACCCCCTTTTCAACCCATATTATCCAATAACCCTGACCCAATCACTCCCACACCCTCTTATGCTTCCCAAGTTACCCCAACCTACTCCTCATACCATTCTGACCAATCATCTCATTCTCCAGACACCCCCCGAATCTCCCCAGAGCTAGATAATTTTATTACCCTTCAACAACAACCCTACCACCTTAATACCCCAACCATAAACCAAATCTCCTCCACAATAAATTCATCCAACCCCCCTACCCCTACACCCTCTTCAAATTATACTGAATCATTAGCACCATCATCCACATCCACTGAATCTTCACTCAACACTAATAGAGCTTACCGCACTTTTAAAAGAAAGTTCCCCAACCATCCTTTCCCAGCAAAACCAGGAACAGCCCGTGAATACATCAACCACCCCAAGCATACTAACACAAAAGAATTTTTAGCCATCACCTTACCCTCATTCCCACAATACACCTTAAAGACCCCCCACGACACTAACGAAACACGCAACTTTGTAGATGAATACGTTTTAATGCCCACTCTCTCTTGGACCTCATATTATCATTTTACTAACCCTCTTTGCTTACCTTTATCTAACACTCACATCGATATAGAGCGAAATACGGACATGCTATATCGACTCACTACACCACTAACCGCTAGACAATTTACTTACGTTGGATATAAAAAATCACTAAAAACACACACTGCACCTAGAGCTAACGAATATACACTCGAATACTATGATCACAACATCATCAGAGCTAACCAAGATCAATTCTTAGACGACGATCGCTTCGCTAATCCACAAATTACCGAGAAATTTTTCATCAAGACACCATATATATTCACACTAAACATCTTCGACCGAAAGTTTGATCACATTATTTCAGAAGCACTAACAGACACACAAGCATACGAAAGTTTTAAAGAACGCTTCCAAATATTTTCACTAACCTTTCATTTCCTTGCACCACACGAAAGAGATTTACACTGCTCACACGATATTATGTTGCGCACTAAACAAACCCACACATATAGTTATTATCGCTTCATCCAAAATCACTTTGACCTACACACACCCTCTAGACAACCACACCATCGTTTTCAATTCATTAATTCCAAATACACTTCACCATTTTTCCTAAATTTCACATATTGCATTAAAGACACTAACCTCCATGGTATTCTTCGTAATTATGACCCCATAACCCAAATGTACATCTTCTGTCCCATCACCAAGACCTTCAACGCCGAAGAATCCCGACCCTTCCTTATCCCGCACGAGTTTGTACAACCTATAGAAATCCCAATTTTAGAATTCATCCACAACACTAAATTCAATCACAAATTATATAATCTAATCCAAAACACACCTTATGAGTTTGCAGTTGGCACTGAAGAACTAACCACTATTAAGGCACTTCAATTGCTTTGGCCACTGCTTCAGACTAAAAATATCATCCGCATCTTAGCTAAACTACTAACAACTTCAGAACTAATTCACGACATCTTCCCCCACGGTTTTTTCCCCGACGACTAACAGGTAAGTATGAATTAAGTAAATATTACTAACTAATTAAATATTAAAAAACTCACCATACTTTATCCATGTTTTCTTTAGATTTTTAGCCTTCATCCGACGATCACCTACAAAAACCACAAAAAACAAATAAAGATCGCAAATTTCATCAAACAGATTTCAAAAATTCTATTAATCTCTTACACTTATAAATTTATAAATTTAATATCAATGCAATAAATTCATTTATGAAATTTTCCCCACAAGCAGTAAATCTAATTATGATGAAAATTTGTAACTTAAAATTCCCCCATAACTAGCAGTAAATTTCCAAATTCTATGCAGTAAATTAATAAAATGCAAATGCAGTACTAACCTTTTGATATTTTCATTCATTCGCACAGAAATTCTATCCACACTCGCACAGCTCGCCCACGAAGAATTGTTTAAAATAATGAATTTCAGTTTCAAGTTTTCACACTCAACAACTCTAACATATAATAACATGTTTCAAACTTTCCTTTAACCCGGTTGGAAAGGAATCATATACTAAACAAAACTAACCAACGCAGCTTACTAAATACCACAAATCATAGAATAACAGCATGACTAAGAAAAGGAAACCAACGGTACCCAAACCGGATTAACCTAGTTTAAAACTGGATAATTTATTCTTTTGAAGACTATTATAAAGTCTAAGAAAGAAATAATAAAACACAAAAAAGTCGAAAGACAAACCCATACCACAAACAATTTACTTTTTGGAAAAAGGACATAACCAACAAGACATAAGAAAAACCACAACAAACCCAACATAAAACGTTGTCACATAACAGGACCCCTCACAAAAACCGCATGAAATCATACTCCCACTCCTGGCCTAACCCACCAGGAAGGACGTCCTGAGCATGCTCTATAGCCGGCCTAACCCACCGCGCTACATCCACGCTTTGTGACCACACCTTTATTTTTAATAAGAGCTACTCAAGTGTGAGTAACTCTTCAAAATAACCGAACTAAAACAAAAAGCTTTTGTGAAAACAACTAACTAAAATCATAATTAAAAAATATTAAACTAATAAATGTTTTATAAAATGTAAATTACATTTATGCAATACATAGATCAGAATACAACACCAAGGACGAACATCTAAAGACAAAACGACCCCACTACGCTCGAGAGAGAATGACCAACCACAATCGATATGCCACTCACAATCACAACTCAAAGGATTTAGAGTACGACTTGACTTCGCAGAAAAGGACTTCATTGAACTAGACCAATGACCACCTCGATGTTCAAGTATACGTACAGATCCGAGTAACCAGGCATCCCCTCCACGCACAATCTCCACGCCATTCCCAAACTAAATCAGACACAGAAAAGTTCTCCACGCAGAACAGAAAAACCTGACATAGCCAACCATTCTGAAATCAGATTTGAGTTTGTTGCGAAGACTTAGTCGTTGTCACTAGAAGACACAACATCTTATGTCTCTAACTCCAGCTTCCTGGATCTTCTTTAACAAAAAGGAAACAGAAGAAGTAAGATGTTCGCCAAACACCAACGTCCATCATCCATCCTTCGAATTGCAGAAGAACTATTCTAAAAAACTCTGTAAAACCCGGATGGGTGGAACCTGATCTAAACTACATTTTATGATTGGATAAATTAAATGTTTTACCAATGTAAAGTATTTAATATTAACCAATCATGATCCATCTAACTAACAACCCACTTATTTGTAAGTGCTGAAGTTACTTGTAATTTCAGCACCAGAGAGATTTGAATTTAACTTAGAAATTAGTTGGACTCTCCCGAGCACTTCAGCAGCCGCAATAAACCAGTATACCCTAGATCTATTGAGCCTAGCAGAGACTAGTTAAACAACCTGAGACTAGATAGTATAAGAGTAAGATTAGGATCGGTATTAGACTAAGAAGTTGCACGAATCTATCCGGCCGAAAATAAGATAGCGTGACGAGCAGACGGTGTACCCTATCCGAAATTACTCTATGAGTTAACCAACTCGGTCATAACTCATTTGCTTGCTGCGTTGTTTATTTGATTGTTCCATTTCATGACATCAACAATTTCAATACCACAATCCTTGAATAAAAATTGTGAAAACCAATTTTTATGCTCGTTTTTATGAAATGCATATTTTATGCAGAATAGTATTTCAAAATTTATACATGGTTGGGGAGGGGAGGGCATTCTACGGTAAGTCACTTAGGGGGGAGGGGGATTGTACGGTGGTTCATCCGTTATTTTGTGATTTTTTCAGTTGAAAACTAAATGAAACAGAAAACAGCAGATAAAAAGATGAAATGCACAAAGAACACTCTTTAGAATAAACAATAAAGAGTCAATAATTAACTGTTTCCACGATTGCAAATAAAATGAAGTCTGATTTTTTATTCAAATTACGAAATCTGAGAGTCGACTTTAATTCAATTTTCAATATAACAGAAACTTGTCGACACTCACCTTTAGATGAAGGAGCATTTTATGTACATTTTCATTTTCTCGCTCTTTATCCTTTTCTTTCACATCCGCTCGTCCTAGCTTTGTTAAGCTTTCCAGCAGGGATTTTACAGTTTCCGAGGGACTTTTAGTGCTCCCAGCACTCCTGCCAAATATTGGCATAATGTCAACCTCAGATTTAATCAAGATCTGGAAAATCAACATATCATATTTTATCAACAGAATTGGAAACAGACCATCTTAGCATAAATAATCATTATCGAACATAAATGATCATTATGAAGAGCAAAAAACTTTTGGAAGCAAATACTTCAATTTGATTCTAGATTGATGAATCAGAAGATCAACATTTACACCAAGGCGAAGCCGAGCTTCAAACCACCTGCGATACAACACAAAACAATCACTAAACCGGAAAAATAAATCAGAAATGCTGAAATCTATCAAAACGAATTAAAAATTTTCAAAAGTTAAACCAAGAGTTTAGAAGGTGAAAAAAATCAGAAAAAAAATTACCAAGCTGTAAGCAAGCCGAAAATACCTGAGAGGAAATGTAACATTCGCCCGGAAGTACATATCGACGGAAAATAAAGCTAGGTTCTAAAACGACTGGCTAGCGTCTAAACACAGCTCTACATGCTTTTCACCGTCTCTGCCAAAGCCAGTTCTTTTGGTGGTCTTTCTAACATCGGATCGACAATAAAAAACGTTACTGTTTCCGGCTTCGATCAGAATGCTCTACTGTGACATTCGACCAGAATGGACCAAAATGCAAATTCAGGATATTCGGAATTTTAGCAGCGAACCTTCCGAATTGACGGTTTTAAATGATTAACAACGTTATTGGGACGATTAGTCAAACGGTGAAGGTCCAGATATTCTGGTATTTTAAAATTTTAAAAATTCGAAGTATGACGTCATATTTCTGAGAAACGTCAGAAACGGTCATTTTTGATAGAAAACCGGAGGAAAACACAACAACATTAGTTGCGATAGCGATAACAACAAGAATTGTGATTAAAAAACAACAACAAATTGCAGAAGTAGCAGAGACCGTTCCGATTTGCAACTATTGTGTCGCTACAATAGTTGCAAGGCCGTTGCGAAAAACGGTGAAGGGTGGAAGACAGCCTTCCGGAAGGAAGATAGGAGCCTTATTTCCCCGGATTCAGGAATCCGGAGGGGTCTCGGGACTGGAACTTTTATTAACTTATATTAACTTTTAGGTTCCCTATTATGTTCTTGTAACATTCGTCTACTGCAGTCACACATGAGGCTTAAGAAAAATAGGCCCTATAACCATTGGCTCAAGAGTCAGGGACACTATCTCTTGTGTTTTTCTACCTCAAATCAGTCGGAGCCAATTCGGTTCGTTTGTGACATGAGACTACGACCCGTTACAGCTTAAAGGCTACTACTAAAATATGCCCCCACTCTAGAATTAAGAACGTCCCCATACTTAGGTCTCTAGATATGTGCCAGTCGGTCATATTTGGAAGTTTGACCTTGAGAGGAGCAAAAAAACACTTGATTTTGGAGTGAAATTTAATTTTTCAAAATTTCGAATGGAGCATGTCATGCACGATTTTCTCGCGATAACTGAAAATCAAAAAAGAACAATTTCAGAACGATCGAGTAACAATCGCGGGAAAGTTACCAAATAAAACAGTGGGAAATTGCTTTTCGCAATTTCTGTCACAATAGAACAAGAGTAGAGCTGTCCCATCTAGAACAGAGACGAGAGCATTCCCACGAACTGGATTGTTGTGACTGGAGTACTATTATTAACTGGACCAGAGTGAACCTTCGGTGGAAAGGTGGACAGCTAGAGTGTCCTAATGGTTCACGAGAACTTACAGTCTAGAGTAAAAACTTGTTCTTATTATTAAAACTGACTAACGTTAAACTCATTTTAGTTACTTTATTAATTCTTGAGTTAACTACCGACTGGATTATTTCCCACTTCTTGAGCGTGCTACTATGTGAGAACAAATTTAAATTCTTAGAGTGTGTTTTATGATTGTTATGTTGAGGTAAGGCGAGTTTTAGGTTGATCCATCTGAAATGGATCAAAGTTCCACTGTCTAATAAAAAGTAACTTAACGGATTGTTCCAACCCGGTTTTTAACGGCGTTCATGTATTTTGGGTATCTAGAGACCTAAGTATGGGGACGTTTCTAATTCTAGAGTGGGGGGATATTTTAGTAGTAGCCTTTAAGCTGTAACGGGTCGTAGTCTCATGTCACAAACGAACCGAACTGGCTCCGACCGTTCTTGAGGTAGAAAAACACAAGAGATGGTAACCCTGACCCTTGAGCCAGTGGTTATAGGGCCTATTTTTCTTAAGCCTCATGTGTGACTGCAGTAGACGAATGTTACATAGTGTTTTTATGGCGCTCCTGGGTGTTTACGACATCAAGACTACGGAGTCGAACCCACTTGAGACAGCTTCGGGCTGAATGCCCATTCTAGAGTACCGGCGGTACGGTTCGACAGGAACGTGCAAACCTTCCGGTTGTACTGTGATAGCTTTTTAAGAAAACTCGAGAAAATTTCCTGGTACGCTCTCCGAACGAGGCTTAGCTAACCGAGTAAAGGGGGGCAACTAGGGGGACAAAAACACAAGCAAAAAGACAAAAAGCAAAACAAAAAAACCAAAAAAGAATAGAAAAAGGAACAAAAACCATAAAACGAAAAAAGACAGTGACTTTGACACCAGATCAGTTGGATCAAACCTTTATATTAATTAAATAGTATACCCATACTGTTTTATAAGTTCGATCGTTTCGATCAACCTAGCAATTTAACCCAGTAACCGTAATAAAGTGCCCGAGTGTGGGGCGTTGTCAAGGGTTTTCAGATAGTTTGGAACTTAGCTGGACAACAAGGAAACTTGACTGGAAGAGGTGACCAGCCGAGTGGGAGGGTTGTTCAGGAGTACCTGAGCTGAACCAATAGGAGACTCGACTGGAAGAGGTGACCGGCCGAGTGGGAAACTGGTTCAGGAACACTTGAGCTGAACCAATAGGAGACTGGACTGGAACAGGTGACCAGTCCAGTGGGGAAGCAGCCAAGAAGGATTTGACAGTTCTCGAGTTCTCAAGTTGGGCAGAACGGGTATCGTTAGAATCCACATTACATTATAGGAGATAAGTGTAAAATTGGATAAGCGAAATCCCCCAGTTTTGAGGAACGTTTTTACTTGAGCAGGCCTGGAAACAGGTCTACGGTTTTCTCTTGAGAGGTTTAGCACCCGGCGCTTAAAGTAATTTTTAGGCTTAAGAAGGGGGGCTAGAAAGGGGGGAGGTTAGAAGGGGGACTGGTTAGGCTAGAGGTGAGCGGTTGCAAATTGTAAAAAGGGGGGAAATTAGAGTGACTAATTAGTCGACATCGTTGATTTAGTTACATTAGTCATTAACACGCGTTGGTAATAATAAGTGGATATCGAAATTTGAACTTGAGTTAAGGGAGGTACCCTGGTCGGATTGGTAGGGGGGAACGGACGTAGACAATTCTGGTGATACCCAATAAGATTATTAGTTGGGGGGAGGAAAACGCGTGGCAATTAGGTAACAGACAATTTTTTTTTCGACAAAAGGTAGACATTGGTCACCTTTGAATTTTAGGTGGGCTCATCTTTCCGTTTTTATTATTTTTTCTAGCTTGGATTTTTGTTGCATTTTGGTGAGGATTTGTGTTTAGTTTTTATACGAACAGGTGATCACAAGATACCTGCGCACAGGTTTTGATCTCAAGTTGCTTGGAACATTGAAAGAGAGGTAATTAAAAAGAAATAAGAAAAAGGGGGGTCAGCATTTGGCTTTTAAGAGAGGGTTTTTGGGAAAATTTTACTAGAGCTTGAGTGGTGGCACGAGGTACAGTGAATCAAGAAGTCCCCATAACGAAGAAGAAAGAGGTCCCACCGCTCAGACACTTGTCAACAGTCTTGGGACAGTGCCAAAGAAGTCTTGGGACAGAGCAGTCTGGGGACAGTCTTGGGACAGTGCAGTCCTGGGACAGTGTTGGACCAGAACAGTCTTGATACAGTCTTGGGACAGTGGTCTTGGGACAGTGGTCTTGGGACAGTGGTCTTGGGACAGTGGTCTTGGGACAAGGGTCTTGGGACAGGGTCTTGGGACAGTGGTCTTGGACAAGGGTCTTGGGACAGGGTCTTGGGACAGTGGTCTTGGGACGAGGGTCTTGGGACAGGGTCTTTGGACAAGGGTCTTGGGACAGTAGTCTTGGGACACTAGCCTTGGGATAGTAGTCTTGGGACAGTAGTCTTGGGACACTAGCCTTGGGACAGTAGTCTTGGGACACTAACCTTGGGACACTAGCCTTGGGACAGTAGTCTTGGGACACTAGCCTTGGGACAGTAGTCTTGGGACACTAGCCTTGGGACACTGGCCTTGGGACAGTAGTCTTGGGACACTAGCCTTGGGACAGTAGTCTTGGGACACTAGTCTTGGGACACTAGTCTTGGGACACTAGCCTTGGGACAGTAGCCTTGGGATAGTACTCTCAGGACAAGGGTCTTGGGACACTGACGAAGTACTGGGACAGTACCGAACAGTCTTGGGACAGTAGAAAGAAGCCTGGGACGGTACAAAGAAGAGTAGGGACGGTAACTGGAAGTCTTAGGACGGTATAAAAATTGAATTAAAATTACAATAAGTGTTTGAGACAGATTTAAAACAGAACAACACTAGTCGGAACCCGGTACGGTTGGGACCACAAATAAAGAAAGTTTCAAGAAAGGTTTTTATCACGTTGTATATTTCCTTTTAAGAATTCTTTTTCACAAAAAATTTTATTCGTAGAATAGAATTGTGTATATAATAATATTGTAAATACGATCAATTGTAAATAGAAATAATGAGACGGAGTAGGGTACCGGTGCTAGAAAAAAGGTCAAGTGGATCAAACACGAAATATAACTCGTCGCTGCGCGGAACGACATCAAGGGGCCCAGGCAAAACAAAAGATAACTTTTCAGTTAGCATGGTCAGCACGAGGAGTGGCACCGAGAGCAAGACGCGAGAAGATGCGAGGGAAAAACAGGTGGAGCCCACAATCGAAATCGACCTAGAGACACCAGACCAAAGCGTAGATGAAGTGGAGAAAAAGACAACGGAATCCACACCGATGCCCCATATGGAAGATCAAAATCCAAAAACCGTGGAGTTTTCGC